TTACATGGAAAGTTTCCATGGGCAGCTGACACAGGAAAATCAGTCAGGAAAGATCTGAATGTAAAAATCTGATATATTTTAAGAGAAAACAGCAATCAGCCTATTATCTCACTAGTTCCCCTTCAACTCCATCCAGTTTAGTTTAAAATTTCTCTTAAGCACAATCTTGCACCCATCTCTGAGGTTTCTATCTTTCAGACATACCTGTTTTCTGACTGAGTTTTTTTGATCCACCAGTTCCTTTGATTTGCAGACGTCTTCAAATATACATGATGCAGAAACACCCTGACATGTTCCTCTAGTTATTTAAACTGGAAAAACTTTGAATTTTCCAAGCAAGGAGATACGTTTGATACAAAATTAGTCCTGAGAACCTAATGGATGTCTTTAAAACAGCAGGTCATGCTGTCGAAATGTGCTGAGCTGTTGTAATCTTTTGTCTCTCTCTGCAGTGTGAATTACCTCTGCTTATGGCACATTTAATAAGACTATATGGCTGAACTTGACAAGTGAGCACATTTCACAGTTGAGTTTGACGATGGTGTTTCTTTCCAATCTCTATGGTTTGAGGAGCAACTTCTTTGGCTTTCAAGAAGTCCTATTTTCATTTTAGAGGCAGCTGGTTCAGCAGCAGGTCCTCATCCTGCGTAAATGAGGCTGAGGAGGACTGGGCTGGAGCTGGCTGTACTAGGATGGGCAGAATCTTTACCAGATGGTGCACAGAGGCTGCTAACTCTGCCAAACTGCGGGCCACAGCCTCCAGTTGGAAGCCCTGATGATGAATGGCAGAGGAAAGTGAGCCCAGTTCCCCGTGGAGACCTTCCATGGCATGGGCCAATTTTCCCAGGGCAGGTGATGAACAGCCGCAGCCTTGGTCTTCCTCCACTGGCTCGTGTTTAATGGGGCAACCAGGAGATGCCTTGCTAGGTTTAGGATGATGAGTGACAGCCTCAACAGATGAAATGTTTGGACCTGGTGCTTCAGTCAGGTCTGGTGCAGAGGTGGCATCTGGGTAGCCTGAGAAGACAGAATAGAATCAATGACTGCATTGTGCCCCAAACACTCTAATTACAATATTACTTATACAGTGGTACCTCGATTTACGAACTTAATCCGTATTGGAACAGCGTTCGTATGTCGAAAAGTTCATAAGTTGAGGCAGGATTTCCCATAGGAAGTGCATTGTGCCCCAAATACTCTAACCACAATATTACTTATACAGTGGTACCTCGACTTACTAACTTAATCCGTATTGGAACAGCGTTCGTATGTCGAAAAGTTCATAAGTTGAGGCAGGATTTCCCATAGGAATGCACTGAAAACCATTTAATCCATTCAGGCTGTTTTTCGTTCATATGTCGAGGCCCTGTTCGTAAGTAGAGGCATTAGTTCCCATAGGAACTAATGCAAAGCCGGTTAATCTGTACTCTACCACTAGGGAGAGTTTTTTCTTGTTTTGACCTAAGATGTACTTAGGTCAAAAAAGGGCAGGAAAGGTTTCTTTTTGGTTCTTAAGTTGAGGCTCCGTTTGCAAGTCGAAGGAACATTTTGCAAACAGAGCCATTCGTATCTCAAAACGTTCGCAAGTGGAGACGTTCATAAGTCGAGGTAGTAATAATGTTCTGTCAAGTCAATTCTAACTTATGGCAACTGTTTCTAGGGGTTTCCATGTATACTCAGAAGTACCATTATTACCTCCTGGGGGGCACTTTGGGGCTGCATAGCTTGCGAAAGGTGACCCAGACTTGCTTTTCTCCAAGAAGACATAGTAGGGGTTTCTATGTACTGTATAAAGTACTCAGAAGTACCATTATTACCTCCTGGGGGGCACTTTGGGGCTGCATAGCTTGCGAAAGGTGACCCAGACTTGCTTTTCTCCAAGAAGACATAGTGGGGAATCAAACTCCCAGCCTCTAGCTCCAAACTCAATGAATGATCCACCCAGTGGGCACTTTGGGGCTGCATAGTTTGCGAAAGGTGACACAGACTGGCTTTTCTCCCATAAGACATAGTGGGGAATCGAACTCCCAGCCTCTAGCTCCACAGCAAGGCACCGAACTCAATGAATGATCCACCCAGTGGGTAGGAAATAGTTCCAGCGAGTAAGTCTACATGGAGATGAAGCTGTGCAGTTGTCTGGATGGTCAATAGGCATAGTCAAAGATGTAAAAATGGGAAATTATTCTGTGGAGAGAAGAGTCCAGTCCTTGCCTACAGGGCTTAAGCCTTGGCCAGTGGGGCAACTGGGATGTCATTCTAAGGCTCTGAACTATACAATTTATTTGAAATAAGGTGGGGAGGATGTTAAAGAGGTCTTCAGCTAAAGGCCTTTTCCCTAGTTTTAATACCAAGAGCTTGTCTTAGAAGTGGCTACTTTTGCCAACAGGGCTTAAGCCTAGGCCAATGGGGCAAGTGGGATGTCATTCCAAGGCTCTGAACTAAACAATTTGTTTGAAATAAGGTGGGGGATGTTAAACAAAGAGTTCTCCAGGACACCTGGCACATCAAGGTTGCCTGTTCCTTTTCAGACAGAAGTCCTGGAGATCATGACGGTTGCAGGAGGGGAGAAAATAGCGTGTGAGACTCTGTCAATAAGAGGTATGTCTTCAGCTAAAGGCCCTTTCCATAGTTTTAGTACCAAGAGCTTGTCTTAGAAGTGGCTACTTACTCATCCCATTTTCTGAATCTCCGGAGCTCACCAAACCATCCTGCAGCAGCTCACCAATGGCAGCTGCATGTGACACTGGCCTTTGGGGAAGATCAGTTGTTTTGTGAACATCTGTTGCATCCAAAGTGCTCAAGGTATTCAGAACGAAGGCTGATGCTGGTGCAAAATAGAGAAAACATGGTTAACACAAATTTAAAATGGAGGCTTCCTTGTCTGTCCTCTCTCCACCCTGGGATTTCACTCTGGGGGAAAAAGGCAAGTAAATGAATGAGCGGGCAGATACTGCTGCTCCTGCTGTTGTCCACCTATCTGCCTTTTCTTCTGTAGTAGTAGTGAGGAGAAGGACAAGGAGCAGCCTTAGCTCATGAGAAGAGGGGGCTAACAGTCGAATGTGACCAGATAGGCGGGATAGAAGGTAGTAGTGAGGAGGAGGACAAGGAGCAGCCTTAGCTCATGGGAAGAGGGGGCTAACAAAGATATCTGCTCCCTCCCAAAATCTTACTGCTTAAATAATAATAATAATAATAACAAAAATATCTGCTCCCTCCCAAAATCTTACTGCTGTCTCCAGGCAGTTTCTCACCCATGGGCTTCACAGTCTGGAGATCTATGTTCTGTGCTTCTTGTTGACGCTGACTGGTGTTCTCTTCTGAGTTAAAAATTTGGGGGTTGACCGTTTCCAAACGATCCCTAGATTGTTCCTTCTCTGTGGTTGTTGCCAGATCCACTCCCAATTTAACACCTAGGCTGTTTGAGAAAAGGACAAACTCGTTTGCTACATTCGTGGTTGTCTCCAGCTCTCCCTCAGGTTCCTGAAGCCATCCTGCAATGGTAGGCTGATTTTCATCTGAGGAGTTGATGGGTTCTGTGTTCTGTGTGACTGAAGGCCCTTCAGCTGTATGGTCCCCATGGAGAGAAGGCACCACATCTGTCACAGACTTTAGGCCTTGTGTAGCTGTGGGGTGTTCTGTTCCTGATGGGCTTACTGTTTCATTTTCTCTCTCAAATTCCAGATTGCCCCGGTCTAAAGACAACAGGGACTCAATGGATGTGGAGGTGGGCTTTTGTTCCCGTCTGTGTGAGGCTGCCCGTGTCTTTGTGGAGCTGGTTGATGCTGTTTCCTGAACCATTTCCAGCATCTCTGTATTAGGTATTATTTTATCCATGTCCCAGTGGATTGTTGTCTCAGTTACACTTTTAGATTCCAAATCCTTTGTGGTTGAGGACGATTGAGATTTGACTGAAAGGTGGATGGGTTCCTGTTCCCCTGTGTATGTGTATGTTGTTGTCCTGGCATGGCTGGTTGGTACCATCATCTCTGGAGCAGGAGTTGTGGGGTGTTCTGTTCCTAATGAGTTTGTTGTCTCGTTTTTTCTCTCAGATTCCAGATCTCCTATGCTTAAAGGATGCAGAAATGTAACAGAGTGGGAGGTGGGGTTTTGTTCCCCTATGTGTGGGAGTATGCTTGTCTTTGGGAAGCTGCTTGATTCCACATCCTGAACATTTTCTATGATTTCTGGATTAAGCACTGTTTTATCCATATCCTCTTGGGTTGCGGTCTCAATTTCATTTTCGGATTCTAGATTCCACACAGCTGAGGATGGCTGAAACTCAACTGAGGGGTATGTAGGGTTTTGCATCGATTTGTGAGTTATCACCCTTGTATTTGGAGGAGTGGTTGACTCTATTTCCTCGATGTGCTGCTGAATTACAGGATTAATAGTTGTTTCGACTATGTCCATGGAGTTTATTAGCTTTCTGTTCTTTTCCTGTTCTAGCTCCACATTTTGTGTGGCTATAAGTGGTTCAGTAGGGTATGTTGGATGGAATGACTCCATTTCCCATTCGTCTGGAAAACTCTGAGTGGCTGTGGTGGCTTCAAAGGCATGCAACGTGATATGTAACCCCAGCTTCTCTACAGATCTTGTACTTTGTGTAGTGGTGGTAATGGTGGTGGATCTGGCTATATTTGAATCACTGGTTGGCTTCAACAATGACAGGCGCTTCCATTTGCCTGAGAAAACAAAAGACAAAATGCCAAAAGCATTTTAGCAGCCTTTCCTTATCCCCCAGCCATTATGAGCTCTCAGCATTCTGTATAAAATACAATGCCCTGGGTTCTCTAGAAGGGAGCCTTGGCATTTAAATAGGTATAAAACCAATACAGTATATATTTGTGAAATACTGTAGGATCCCCATATCTACAGGACTGGTATCCATGGTTTCACTTATCCGTACTCTAAAAATATTTAAAATATTAAAAGAAAAAAGTAGAAATACATAATTTCACTATGTATTTACCAGAACTGGATACTAAAGGGAGCCAGAGACCATGCTATGTATTCTTGTTGTTGGAATACATAGCATGGTTTCTTGCTCCCGTTATTTATTTATTTATTTATTTATTTATTTATTTATTTATTTACTTACTTACTTACTTACTTACTTACTTACTTACTTATTTACTTACTTGTTTGTTTGT